CCAGTGCCAATCGTCCATGTAGCTGTAGTTTCCCATAAGTCGTACATACTAAAGGCATTTAAGGTTCAGCGAAACTGGAATGAAAACTCGGTCAGAATGCCCAGTTTGGTCCAATATCTGCCGAGTTCAAAAGATGTGGTATGTTAATCCGTAGTCAAAGGGTCACATGGGTTCTTTGTGCCAATTCTTACAATCAAAGATGAGGATCCAATCATCTTTTCCCCAACGATCATTACAAGTAACCTTTTTCGAATATCTCACAATCAAGACATTCTTCCAGTTTTTGTTTAGATCGATTTATTGAATTTTTACGAATTGGTCTTGAGACAAGTGGGCAAGAGGAGAAAAGGAAATCATGAGATGAAGAAAATGAACATCAAATGTAGAGGGAATACACCGAGATCAAGCTGAGAAATACTTGAACAGTGGATGAATAATTATGTGCGAGAGAATGAGAGGGTCAAAAAAAACATAAGATCAAGACATCTCTAAATCACCATCACCATCGACTCCATGGCTGTTCTCAGAGGAATCTGAGTCCGGCTTGTTGAGGTTTTGTTGAAGGTTGTTTTGGTCGATCAGGTAGCGAAGCATGTATGTATTTGAATTGGATCTATATACCGTAGCAGTCGATGAGAAAAATCAGTATCAGACACTGTGAGCGCTGTCTAACTAAAGATCATCTTCGGCCTGAAAAGTAGAAAACATGGGACGAAGACTTACAGTTTAGAAACGGATGAATGGGAGTCAAGAAGAGCTTTTTGGACGGAGCGCATGACCGGCGCGACTTCGTTCGAGCGGTTCTTGAGATATCGTCCATGAGAGGTAAGGATGAAGTTAATCCAGGTGAGGTTGAACTGGAAATGATTAGACGAGCCGTCGATCATGGCTTTCGAGATGAATTCAAGCAGTCTAGATACATAAGTTGGGGGCAGCTGTGCGGCTATGATCTTGATTTCTTTGAACGGGATCGATTGGTAGACGGATTTGATCATATATTTCTCATTCAATCTGAATGCCATCACGAGTGCTTTGAGGTATTCTGATTTCTCCACGGTTTGCTGGATCGATGTAGGGGTGATCTCGATCGTTAGTTCAAAGGGATCGAAGTGGATCGTATCGTCTAGGGAATACAGCAGTAATCCATCTGTCGAAGCGGCTCCCCATGACCTTCCAGTTGGCGAAAACTTGACCGATTTTGTTCGGATCTCTGGCTTGTATTTCCGTCGGGACATGTCACCACCTTTGGATCCTGGAAGGATTTTATTAGCATCTAACCGATCATCCAAATCAGACAGTTCGGCAGCATCATTGATCTCATTGACCGATATCCCCGATTCCAAAAGCTTCCGACTGTCCAAGAATTCCTCGGTTCCATCCAAACTCAAATTCTCTGAAATTTCGAATCGCTTGAGGAGCACACCATCTCGACAATCGTAAATACAAACGTATTTGCTATTGCCTCCAGCCAGTAGTTGTAATCCATCGGCGGTGTAACAGAGACTGTTGAAGCTTTTCCCGCTGGCACTATTTGCAGCGGTGATTCGATCTTCGAACTTCCGTCCACCAGAAATATCTTTCCGTCCTTCGATCAGCGACTTTTGTTTTCCCTCGGCGACATCGAAGAAGGCAATTTGGCCGTCCAAAGTGGAAACCGCCACCTCGGCACCATCGGGACGGAAAGCTACCGCCAACCCGTCTGAGGCTAACTGGAGTGGCTCGACCCCATTCTTCCTTCCATACATCTCCCAAATCCGTACGGTCTTGTCCCAGCTAACACTGACTAATTTATCTCCGAGTGGGGAGAATGCCAAGGCGGATATAGGACCTTCGTGGCCGGTTAAGATGTCAACTATTTTGCCTGTTTGGACCGACCAGACGTAAATCTCAAATCCCTCGCCGACGCCACCACCGACGACGACCTCGGCAGAAGGGTCAACGGCGAGTGCGTTGAATTGGACTGGATGAGGCGAAGTGAAGGTTTTGAAGTTCCGGTAGCGGATCAGGTCGAAGGCCCGAATGGTCCCGTCGAGCGAAGCTGAAAAGATCACCGTGCCTTGCTTGGCAAACTCGACGACGGAGACTGATGATTGGTGTTCGGCGAAAGTCACATAACAGAACCCTGAGGTCGAGTTCCAAACTTTGACCTTCCCATCGTCCCCGCCAGTCACGATAGTTTGTCCATCGGAAGAGAAAGCCAGCGTGTTCATATCAAAGTAATGCCCTTGCTGCTTCAAGATGTAACTTTCACTTTGCCATTCCCAGACTAGAAGTTGTCCAAGCTTGGATGCCCCAAATGCGAGCCACTGTCCGGTTGGGTCTATTGCAACGCTGGTGATTTTCTCTTGAGAGACCGATAAAGAGTGAATGTTGGAAAACGAGCCGACTTCTTTCGCTATTTCGTAGAGACCAAAAACACCATTGGCAAAGCCGACGACCAGGATGTTGGTTGAACGATCGAAGGTACAAGTGGTGACATAAGTGCCGGCAACGTTGAAATAATGCCGGGAAGAAATTCCCCAACGGACCCGGTCTAGAGATCGGCATTCTTTCTTGGAGGTGACGGAACTGTTGGAGGAGTGATCCTGCTCGTCGTCCGAGTCATCGTCTTGACCCACCATGTCTTTATTCCTCCAAACAAAACATGCCCCATCTTTACTGACGGTGATCACTCGGGGCTCATCGTTCGGGTCTGAGATATTTCCTGTGAGCCAGGCACCAAGGACGGAATCCTTGTGGCCGGTAAAATTTCTGGGTCTGTAACCCTCAACTGGATTAACTGTGTACATCCTTACCGTCATGTCTTGGCTAGTCGTCAGGAAAAAATTTGAGCAAGGCGACCATGATAGTGAAATGATATCATTGAAGTGACCGGTGTAAGTTCTGTGTAAATGAAACGGGGTGAAAGATTTGACGGTGGGCGATGGATTCAGCCATATTTGCGCATGGTGGCCGTGTGTGACAAGGAGGTATCTGGTGGAGAGAATTTGAAGTGGTTGATATCAGCCAAGATGTGAATCGGAAGTGCGAACTGTTGAGGATGAGCGCTGAAAAGTTTCCTTAAGAGACGAACTTGCCATCCGGTGAGAATTTAACGTCTTCAACCCTCTGCTTGAAATTGAAATGGTGGAGTACAATTGATCGTTTCAGATTTACCAATAATGCCCGACCGTCTAAGAAAACATGAAGGGTACGATTGAGATCCTGTTTTTTAATTGAAAAAAAAAATGATTGAAAGAGAATTACCTTCATCAATGCTGATGAGAATGATTCCACGGGGATCCAAAGCGATGCGATAAATGTTTTTCCGATTTTGAAAATTCAGTGTGCGTGATTTGTTACTATTTTCCAGATAATTGTCAGATGCGCATCCCAGGATTAGTGAAAATAGGCCTCAGTCCATCAGAGATTGAAGACGACTTACTTGACGAGATCGAAGACAGAGACACGATTTCCGACGGGACTTATCACGCTCTGACCATCGGGGGTGAAGATCACATTGCCCTGACATAAGGAATCAATCAAGTCGAGAATCAGCTATTACTACTCCTACTGCTCAGCGCGGACATTGAGAAATAGATCTGCTTCTTACTTTGCTGTAGACTGTCCCCAAGAGGTTAGAGAATTCGAAGTGAGATTTCATGTTGATAGTAGTGAGGATGTTCGATGGACTTGGTTTCTGGGCTATTTAACAACTTGTCGGAATTTCTTGTGGGTGATTATTGCCTGGGGAAATTTGAAATTGAATATTCAATTTGGAACAAACCACCTGTCACAACAAGCCGAGATTGGTAACAGCCTGTAGCAGCTCGATCTGATGAAGACCCAATCCATAGCTTTGAATGGTCCAGCAATATTTATCAAGCCCTCAGCTGCTTTGTTAAACTTCTCCTATAACCCCTAGGTATCAAGCTTGAGAATTCCCTCAAAAGAGGCCTGGCCATAGATTAACAAGGAAGATGAGTAGCAGAGACTTCTTATAAATTTACTTCATGTATGATTATTGTTATCCTTTCACAGCCCAATGGAACGTCTTATCTTATTTCAGTTATAATTACAGAAAGAATATAAACCCAAAACTTATTTACTTGAGCAAAGTAGCAGTCTCTTCTTGGTGTGGTATGATTTATGTCCATCACTGAGTCTACATACATATGTACTTTGTTACATATACTTGTGTCACTGAATTCTATGTACCGCGAAGCTGGGTATACCGTACACAAAACTTCCCTTGACGCGCTCGGTTCCATGCCCCAACCGAAATCTCAGGAAAGAAGCCTGACCCTTCCCCCCCCCCTCCCCCCCAAAAAAAAAAAAAAAGACTGAAACGGATATGGTCAAAATGGGTATGGAAGAGGAGTTTCCAGATAAGGTATAGTAACCGGTATATATACATATATATCGGAAACGGAGATAAATCAAGTTGATGAGTGATGTTTAAAGTTTCTTGAGGCAGAGGAGGGGTCCGATTCGAGTGCAAGTTGGACCCGAGTGAGGACGAGATAATTGATCCAGAGGGAGGGAAGGAAGCCGATTCTAGAAGGTTTGAATGACTGACGATGATCATGAGGGGGATTTGAGAGAGGATGAAGGAAGCCGAAGAGGTGATCGGACATTCGATGGGCGACTGATTGAGCGACGAGCTCCGCGGGAGATTCGACAAGCTCGAGTGTGCCGGGGACGCCTTGGTTCTGGGCGGGCCGGAAGCGGAGGGAGTAGACTGGCCACTGTGCGAGCGAGGCGATCTGGCGGAAACAACTGTCGGAGAGACCGGGCTGGGCTGGCGCACCTTCAGCACGCCATCGAGCGGCCTCCTGCGCGATGATCGTCTCCAGCCGGGCCTGGAACAGTCTCTGCCGACTCTGCCCTCCCTCCGCCCCATCCCGCCTCAGTCGATCGACCACAAAGGAGATGATCCCCCCACCGCCCTCTAGACATAGCTCGCTCGACCATCGTCCCCCCGGCTTCGTCTGCGGTTGCTTCACTAGCACCGGTATCTCGTGCGTTGGGTAGTCCTGCGCATCTCGTACTATTCCGCTACGGTCTCGCAACCCCACGTGGATCTTCGGCACTCCTAATAGATCTATTATTATTATGAAATAACAAATGAGAATCAATGTCCACTCTTCAGAAAACTAGTAAGGGGTGAAAAAAAAAAACTGACAGGATTGGAGCCAGAACTTGAGCATCTTGAACCGATACAGGTTCCAATGATCGCGCTCAGAAGAGGGGATGACCGAAGTTTTGATTTCGACGAAGTGATCGATAGGGATCGGAGGCGGAGATTGGTGGTGAGGATGAGGGTTCGAGAGTTGCTGATGGACCTGATTGAACACCAAGGGATCGATGCAATCGACCTCGCCGCCGAGGATGATCCTGTTCCCATTGAGGTTGGCCTTCACGACGGCGACCCACTGGGTGTTAGTATTGACGTCCTGGAAGCCGTCCGGGTTGGTGACCAGACTCTCGTAGGAATGGCCGTAGTAGGTCTGGTGGGCCGAGGAGCCCCCGTCCTCGCTGGCCGTCTTCGGCCCATCGATCACGTACACCGTCCCATCAACCATCATTACCTCCTTCGTCCATCCTCCTCTCTCCCCCTCCCCTCCCGTCTCATATACCGTCGAGCATAGCTTCGTTAATACTCCCCGCCAGGTTATTAACCCCGCTGATAATACTCCTCGGCATATATCTAGTCGCTCTTTTGGATCAGCTTTATCCAAAAAATCTATTAGACTGAAGACATGATAATTAGCTGGCCAGATCGTGTGTGTGTCATATTGCAGTTATAGGTCTATACCTGACTAGGAGTCCATCGATACCTTCATCAATAGATTCATCTCTAAGGACAGCCTGATCGAACCGATGGGCGAGATCGAAGCCCAGGAAGTCATGAGGGACATGGAAAGGTCTGAGGGAGTCGAACTGGGAGTTGCCGGTGCGAATCAGACGATGCTCGTCGTAAGAGAAGGAGGTGAAAGGAATTGGGCGTTGGTAGGATGTTAATTTGGATTGATTGGGAGCTCGTGTGCGATTGAAGATCGGGGCGGGGAGGGTGTGAGTAGAGGGTTGGGTTAATGGTGGTGGTGCTTGGAGAGCCTCGAGGAACTGCTTCTGCTCTTCATCCTCCTCCTCCTCTTCTTCTTCTTCTTCTTCTTCTGGCTGATTGTCGTAGTCGTAGTAGTGCTGCTGTTGCTGCTGATTGGGTAATGATCGATGGGTGTCTACTGCTGGCGAGAGTAGGTTGGAGAGTTCGATTGCTGATGGTCCTTGGTTCTTACTGGGATGAAAGTGTGAGTGTGGGGGTGAGACTGGGGTGCTGTTGAGTAGGTTGTTGAGATTGACTGGCATGATGGTGGGAGTGGTGAAGTGCCCTGGATGGTGGTCAAAGTGAGCCTTTTATACTCCACAGTGACTGGGGGGGGTCAACCTACTAGTGTGACCCCATTTTCCACCTTAAATTACAATGGGCGCAATCTCAATTTCAAAGGGACAAAGGGCCACATGTTATTATTGCGATATGATGATCCTATGAACTAACCTCACACAAACAAAGAAAAGTAACATACTATACACAGAGGCGAGATTGGTCTAATGTCATGAAAAAAGTACCCATTAGAAGAAGAAGAACCTGGTTATAAAAGATCATGATGATAAATATGTGTAAAGATGAACTAGTCTTCAGTTTGGTAAACAAAAACAAGCTAATGGCAGTGGTGGGAAAGGGTAATTGATACTTGATTCCATGAGCTAATAGAATGATGATAAAAGAAAATTAAGAAGGTAATTAAGATAAATGAATGAATGATGAGAAAAAAAAAGGTGGAGATAGGGTTAAAAGAACTAACAAGATTGTAACAAGAGTTTGTATTATTGTTATGGTTAAGGTTAAAGAAGGGGTAAGGGTGTTCAGGAAGAAATGGTTAAAAAAATGGTTGATGAACGAGAGACGACTGAAAAAAAAAAAAAAAACTGAGATGAAAGAAAAAGGTTTGTGAAAAATGAGGAGATAAAAAACGTGTAGAGATTACTAGTATTATTAGACGAAAAAAAAGTAAAAAAACTTCGACCCAGAAGAGACATAGAGAGATAAAGAATCAAACTACAAGTCCAGAAAAATAGGGGGGAAAAACCAGTTATGATGCGGATGAAAAAAAAAGAAAGGAAGGATGAGTAAGGTTAAGAAGGAACAGGATTCGCGGAGGAAGAAGAAGGACGAGCGGGGGAAGAAGCAGTAGTAGAAGTTTTAGGAGTATTAGTTCCAAGGGGATGAGAAAGGTGTTTGAGGCCAAGCCCTTTGAAGAGGAAGAGCTTGAAGAAACTAGTCGTTCCAGAGCCCGTGCCGGGATTAGTAGAAGTACCAGCGCCAGCAGACGGTGTGCTTTTCTTCTTTCGATTGAGGATCCCAGCCAGATGAGTCTTACTTGAATGAGAGTTACTGTTGTGATGGGTGATAGTATTACTAGCTGAGGTAGGATGATGGGAGTGGTTCTTCGAGTCGACGATTGGGGCACTAGGGCTTTTCAGGCTCGGGGTTTCTGGGGCGTCCTTCTTAGTAGGAGGTACCGATGGTTCTTCTGCCGGTTGGACGGCCTCGTCTTCTGCTGATCGTGAGAGGACTCGATCGATGGTCGGGACGATCGGAGAGGATTCGGGAGAGGATTTCAAACTGGTCGAAGAGCTGATTTGTTTGGTTTCCGTCAGGACAGTCTGAGGCGAAGGGAGGTCATTGACCTCGACGACGGCTGGGGATTGAACAGCCGAAGCGAAGGTTTCCTGCTCCTCCGCTTCCACCTCGGGGATCTCTTCTTCTGGTCCTTCTGATGATGATTGGGAGGATGATGGGCTAGGGGATTGAGGGGGTGAGGCGGGTAAGGGTTTGAGGGTGGGTGGTTGGGCTGAGAGGATGGAGGAGATGGGCTTGGAGTGGACTGGGAGTTGGTCGGTTTGGCGGGCGAAGAGGATGGGCTCGGTGATCGAGGAGAGGTCCTGTTGGTTGAAGCTGGTCGAGACATCGAGTAACTCAGACATGGGAGGTAAGGATGGGAAGCCACCGGGTGAGCTGCCTGGAGAGACGGTAGGACTGCTCTGGATCGTCGGCTCGTGGCTGAATAGCTTGAACAGGTTCCGGTTGACCCGATAGGATGAGTAGATCGATGGTGTCCCACTAGCCTCGCTCAGCCGTCGAGCTGGAAGATTGTGTCCTGCTATCGCCCGTTGCTGCTGTGCCGAGCCGCGTTCGTTGAGCGAGCCGAGCTGCCTGAGATTGCTGATCGATGGTTTCATGACCGCTCTTCCCAGTTCTGATAAACTCGTCCATCGCCTCGATCGATTCCTGTCTAGTTCTGTGGAGGAGTGGCTGGTCGTGGTTGACTGTTCTTGCTGCTGCTGGTTCAAGTCGGCTGTGGTTTGTTGGTTGGGTGTGGTTGTGTTGGCTGAGCTTGAGTTCTTCTTGAGTTCGTCTAGTGAGACTGACAGGTCGGTTGTTCCTAGGTCGAGTGTCAGTTTGGGTTGGTTGATTAGGCTTAGGTCGGGTAGGGTTGAGTGTGAGAGAGTTCCGAAGTCGAAGGGTTGTTCGTCTGCTGCTGCTGCTGATGGTTGTTGTTGTTGTTGTTGTTGAGACATGGTCATGAATCGATTGGTACTGGTTGTTCTTGGGAATCTGTCTTGGATCAGGGTATCCGGTCAACAAGAGGAGATAGCTGACTACAATCGCTTGATAAGCCAATTACTGGGAAGCGGACAGCTGAGAAGGGGGAAACTATTTATGGCTTTGATCAAAGTACTAAACTAAAACTAAAACTAAAACTAAAATTCATTAAATTCATTGATTCATTACATTCAAAAGGAGATGAAACGATGACTCAGCCAATCAAAATACACACTCCACAACATCAAAACCCCTTAAAACAGTGTGTATTACATCTCATCAATCGAGGCCAAAGAAAAAAAAAACAGTCTCTGAAGCAACCTAATCCGAATCGAGGACTGTACATAGACAGGAGCATTCTTGTAGCTTGAGGAGTCAAACAAGGCTTGGTATAAGGATCCAGGAGAGAATGGTGATGAGCAAACTCCAAAGTCTTGGAAGGCACAAGACAAGGCAAGACAAGAATAGTCAAGCACAAATGCCAAGACTAGATAGGCTCAACCAGAGATCAAGTCATTCATGATCTCCTCAACCTATATATAAGATACAGATCAAATGATTAGTCATTCATGAACACTGAAAGTAGAGATGTCACTACCTGCAGGTGTTAGGATTTTTGCTGGCAAATAAGCCCAGAAATCTCACCTTCATGCAACTGGGTCAGGTAGTACTAGTATTGATCATCTTCCGTTTCCATACAGCATCTTATTGATTTATTTTGTGTTTGGGTCTTAGTTAAACAACTCCCAGAAGTTGGAGTTCCAACTCCCAAATTTCTGGGACGTCGAGAGGACCATCTGTGGACACTCCTCTGGACGTCCATGGGAGTCGGACCTCCAAAACCTTCAAAGGTTTTGGTAGTTGTTCCCCTTATAAAAAAAAATAAATAATAAATAAATGAAATGAAAAAAATAAAAACCCCCGGGGATTTTTGGGAGTTGATCTGCCACAAACCCCAGGAAAGTTGGGAGTCAGCGCCAGAAAGATGCCCTCAACGGCCAAGAGGGATTCCTCTCCACTGCCAAAGTGATTGTATCAGATTGCTACATCTGGCATTACATTAGATAAAAATACCTGATATTACATCAGAATAAACTGGGATTGTATCTACCAGAATTGATATTATATCTACCTAAAATGATATTGTGTCTATCATGAAAGATGTTGCATCAGAACAGCCTATTCAATGCCAGCATAACTGAATTCATATCAGATTTTTCTATCTGATTTAATGCCCATGGGCTAAAAAATTTATTGGATGTAAAAATCTGATATAAAATCAGTTATTTTGACATTAAATAGGTTGGGCTGATGCAATATCTGTTATGATAGATATAACATAATTCTAGGTAGATATAATATCACTCCGGATAGATATATATATAATACCAGTTTTGCCTGATGTAAAATCAGATTTTTTCATCTGATGTAATGCCAGATGTGGGAATCTGATATAATCACATTTGCAGTGCTCGGCTGCTGAGAGTGTATGATCTTAACGGTGTGGAAAGGAAGGCGTGCCCTAGGGGATTTCTTGTACTTCTCCGCTCCGCAACACGTCTTACTCCGGTTTGTTGTCCGGGGTAACTTGCTTGATGGTCTTGTAGGTAGGTAAAATAACACTCTTTGTTTGTCTTTGGTAGGTAATACTCTAACTCTATTCTATCTCTAACAATTCTTGAGGCTAATACACGATTCACTCCTAAGTCACTCTGTTTTTCTGATATGTTCTGAGTCCCAAGTCCTCCCCCCCTCTCCCCTCCTCCCAAGTATCCCACACTCCAGTTCCTCCCTGCTTCCCACAATGTCATCCGCTGTCACCCCCTCGGACTCCGCATGTCACCCCTCCGACGCCTGTCAGTCCAGGTACTCCTCCGGCCGCTCATAAGCAGGTCTCCCACCGCCGCTGTGGGATACTTTATGGGTTCCCATCCAACAACTTCAAAAATCTTATATTTTCTTGTATATACAATAATATTACACCAAATATGGCTCCAGGAAGGGATTCCAGGGCCAAAATTACCCTAGAGGAGCAGGCTTGGACACATGTAACCCCCCTGTGTTGCATGTTACACCCCTCTTTCACTCACAGGTAGGGGGGCAAGCACCCTTACATGTTACAAGGATTTCAGGTACACATTTCACCCCTCCGGGCCATGTGATCTGGCATCTGTACGTCTCAAAGCAAGTACAATGGAAGTATGCAGGCACAGCATACAGGTTACCTTGGCAACCTGTCATGCGATGCGTACAGCCTCAAATACAGGATGACATCAGGCGGCTTACAGAACACAGCCTGCAGGTTGCTAGGTTGCATAGCAACTGTTGCACAGCTTGTCAATCCGACGGAAACCACTCAACTTCTCAAATCACATCATGTAGGCTGTACCACCAGCCAAAACCCCTCATGTATTCTTCCATCTTGGCCAAATTCCCTCATGTAAGGCTGTACAACCAGCCAAAATCCCTCATTCCTGGCTCCCCTGGAGCCAAAATACCTCATTGTTGTCTATATAAGGAGGCCCTTCCTCCCAGTTGTAATTTCTCCCCAGCAGACTTCCTGCAGACATTTCCCCACATAACAGGCAAATCACTGCTCACTCCATAATATTATTTGTTCCCCAATATTTTGGTTTTACAATTATAACAACCCTTACATACAATTATTACAACATCTTTACACATAACAACAACCCATTTTTGCACCTGTCCACCTGTTAAACAACAGAGTATCTTTTGATACACTCCACTATCACTAATTAAAAGCTGCCAATCTAAGATTGGTGGTCTTGTTTAGTGTAGTACACAGGAAAGGCAGAGGTTACCTCACACATCCCTTTCCGAACTCAGCAAAAGGTTCTCACAAACACTTTTGAGCTTAACAAGGGAGTCCCCAACGTGATAGAGGATCCTGTCGTTTGGCACGTGGATTGAAAAATCAGTGAACCACTGTAGTGAAAACTAGAGGGTATTTTTTGTTAGTTTGTGTTAGTTTAGGCGGGAAATCATACCTGTCTTTGACAACCTGAAAAAGCATATCTCTGAATAAGCAATTTCAGTCAGTTTATACAATAAAGTTCATATATAGACCTAGTAGGGCCGGACTAAATAATTAACTACTCAAAAAAAATCAATTATAAAAGTTAAGAAGACAAGGGGACCGGCTAAGCTGACGTACAAGCAGTAGGATATAGATTTTAACTACCAAGGTGGTAGCCGATAAGCTTAGTACAGAACAGACTGTAGTCTATGACAACCTCTACGCATCGGTATAATTGAAGAATAAAAAGTAGCATATTATTTAGTTTTTGATTATTAGTTTAGTAAACAATACCCTCTACCTTGCCCTGGCAAAGAAGCCAGAGACCTTAGTTTTTAGTGAAGTTAGGATTACTACTAGGAAAATATTAAAACTCATTTGATATAAAAACACTGGAAATTAGTAAAAATCGGACATGGCTTTTTCACAAAATCAAGATTTGGAAGGAGCTCTACCGACAACAAACACACCTTCAACAGGAATATTCTCGGGCAATCAACACAGTCAACACATGAATATTGATCCGCCACCACCACCACCTATGAGACATAATCGCTTACGCCATTATAGGACTTATGGGAACAACGGAAATACTCAATCATCAGACAACCCGAACGGAACCGGAAACACCCAAGGAGGAAACATTGCAAATGGAACCTACGGCGTACCACCGGAAACTAACGAACCTCAAGAAATGGACGAACCAAGGCCGCGACCTGCGGTCATCATTAAGGAACCCGACTTGAAATACGATGGCGAACACTTCAAAGATTTTTTGCAACGATTCGAGCTGGCAGCAGAGATATACGGCGCGGGCGGCTTTGATAAAGCACGCCAGGTGTGTAGATTTGTTCGAGGCGAAGAATTGAAGAAGGAACTGGAATCGATGGATGGATATGACACCCGCAACTGGACAGTCTTGCGAGCAAGCATGATAGAACTTTGGGGCGGTTCAGTGAAAAAGATCCGGTACACAATCAGGGACCTTTATAATTTGATCGATTTCTGCCAAAGAAAGGGAGGAATTAAGACAATTAATGACTTCAAAACATATCAATCTAAGTTTATGATGATAACAAAGTATTTGGTCAGAAATGAACATATTATCAACGAAACGGCTGTCTCTCACCTTTTCTTCTTAGCCTTTTCGGTTGACATACAAACAAGCATCAATAGAGAACTAGTCAAAGCAGATCTCATTCCAACTGGGAAGGATGGGTACAACAAGCCACCTCTTCTGATGGATGTGATTGATGTAGCAGAGGATGAAATTCGAGCCAGATCCATCAATGCATTTGCAGCAAGTGGGTTTGCCGAAGCCAATTCTATGATGCAGAAAACTATAGATCAAAAGAAAGGTGATGGAAAAAAGCGTGAGAAGATGGTGGAGGAAAACTCTCCAGAAGTATTGCAGAAGCAGGTGGATAACCTGGCCAAAGCAATAGAAACACTTACTGGAAAGTTGGACAACCAACCAAAAGCAGAATATTCTCGAGGCAACAAGCGACCGACGGGACGACTTTACGAACCTCGACCATGCTGGTATTGCCATAGAGAGGGTCACTCAACACAATCATGTTACGAAGCCCAGAAAGATGAGAAAGCGGGGCTTGTCAAACGCGATGGCCGCGACTTCTGTCTTCCAAATGGTGAGAAGATCCCATGGGATGCATCTAGACCTATTAGGGTTGTAGTGGCTGCGGACTCCGCAAAGCCAAAGCCGACTATAAATGCTGTTTACAAGACAGATAACCCAGCGGTCTTTTCCTCACCACTACCAACATCATCTACGTGTAGTGAACTTGAGTACATCTCATCATTACACAGGATTGATTGGGATCCACCAAAATTAGGTGCAGTTAACTTTGAGAAAGTCAGACTTGAGGCCAATATAGCTACTACCGGAGCAGAAGCGCTTCGTGGACGAAGGAAACCACCGGCGGAAAACAAGGACGCAGCGATGGACTTGGATCAAATCGATGAACTAGAAGAAATAGTACGGGACATACTGGCAGCTCGGAAGACACCTGGTCAAATGTCCGACTCTCAAGGGAAAACAACTGCCCAAAAAGGGGAAAGGACGGCCGAATCAGCCTTGGTCTCGGAATTGGACAACTTAAAGATACCTACAACTTTTTCGCAACTAACCTCGATTTCACCAACCTACACTCAAGAAGTAATCAAGAAACTTCAGAAACGAATCCCGGAACACAAGAACTCAAAATTAACCTACGTCAAGGACACGAAAACGGACCCCAAGGTATCAGCATCTATGTTGTTAAACCAGGATGAAGAAGATCAGGAATATAATTGTTTCTACAGTTGCGCTTTGGGATACATTGATACTCATATTGCTGGGAGGAAGATACCATTCATGGTTGATTCTGGCTCTATGGTCAATGTTATCCCAAGACAAGCTGCAATTGATCTCGACTTGGAAGTTGTGGAAGTAGACATACCAATGAAGGGGATTGGTGGTGATCGGTGTGATATCAAGGGTGTAGTCGAGAACTGTGCCATTAGTATCGGACGATTTACTGGACCAGTTCATCTTTTTGTCTCTCCGCAAGCACAAGACTGTATCCTTGGACGACCATTTTTGTTTGATTACGATTGCACACTCGATTACCCCGGATCAGGCGAATTACTATCTTTTCAAGGCAATAGTGGACGACAAATTACGGTACCTATAGCAAAAATAGGACAAGGACGTGGATGGAATCAGCTCAAGAGTCTCAACTCAAGTTCATTCCAAGGACATGTTTCCACTTTGAATGGTGAAAATGATTTGAATAGTAGTCCAGAATCAGATGTCAAAGGTTCCTTTGAAACCTTTGAGCATAATTTGTTTTGTGCCAAAGAATTCAAAAACCTGAGGCACATGAATTACTTACTGCTATTCTGCTTTACAAACTTCCTTTCTTTGATGAAATTTTCCTTGAAATTTCTTCAAACTGGAGGGGAAAAAGTGAAACCCCAAGTCAAGCTTATGGCAAGCAATACAGCCAAATTTGTTTCAGATTCCTGTACATACATGTATAGAACATGCAAATCAGCTACTATGGACAATGGTGCAGAATTTAAGAAAGACTTTGTTGAAGCTGTTAAGAAGATAGGGTCTACCTTGAAATTCACAACACCATATGATCCTGGGGCAAAGAGGATGATTGAACGCAGACACCGGCCAATTATAGATGCTCTTGTCAAATTGGGCGGAGAATCTGGCAGCAAGTGGCGGGAATATTGTCCATTGGTATTGTTTCCAGACAGAATTTCTACAAAACGGACGACCAAATTTACACCATACAGGCTAGTTTTTGGACATTTACCAGTATTACCAGTGGACCTTGAAATGGACACCTATTTAGGGGTTGATGGGTTAGAAATTAAAACTACATCAGAACTTTTGGAAGAGCAAACCTTGCAACTAGAAAGGCGAGACAAACTTTTGAAAGAGGCCCATGAAAAGATGCTTGAATCAAGGGAGGATTCTGTAAGATACAGGGACCAAAAAATGGTGGCACAATTACAAGAACGTCTGGATACGGGAGGATTGGTTTTAGCCTACAACAAAAGTTTGGAAGATCAATGGGGAAATTTATTTGTTAATAGATGGAATGGACCATTTAAAATAAAGAAAAAATTACCTGGAGGATCTTACATTCTTGAGGAACTAGATGGAACTGAACTCAATCAAACTTACGCGGCATCACACATTAAACAATTTTACCCTCAAGGACAACTATTTGACAAGAATTTGGAGGACCAGGAGGATTATAAAAGTGGTAGTGAGCATGATGAGAGTCTAAAAAACTTTGATCATGAAGACACCCATGATAAATCTGAGGATTGGAATTCCAGTCAATGTTGGCTTTCTCCTGGGCATGAGACTAAACTGTTCAAAAATTCAAATTTACGTAACTTTTCAACAGTTTTTAGCAAATTAAACACAAACCTAAAAAATTATGTAACAAAATACAAAAACAAGAAAATAAAAATAAAAATAAAGTAAAATCAGTAGTGTTTCTTTCAAGTTGGGGGAGGAATACTTACCTTTTTCTTGATTGGATTCATGCTGGCAAAAAAAAAAAAAAAAAAAAAAGCTGGTTCATTTTTCAAGTTGGGGGAGAAAAATCTCACCCTTCTTGTTTGAAATGGGTTAGTATAAAAAAAAAAAAAAAAAAAAAAAAAAAAAAAAAAGAAAAAAAAAAAAACTTCCTACACATATCTTATAAATTTTGTAAAAGCAAATTTCTCAAGTTGGGGGAGGTAACTCTTTCCTCTTGGAAAATTGTTTGGTCTGCTTGTATTTCTTACTTTTGTTCTATCAGTTCAGCACAAAAAAAAAAAAAAAAAAAAAACTGTACTGTTAGAGCTCAAGTCCTTTTTTTATTTTTCTAGAGCAGGTTGATAAACTTAAATTTTATGTTAAGTTTGTCTCTCTCAAGGGTCAAATATATGTCTTCACTCTCTCCTTCTTTAAGGTTGGGGACAACCTTCCTAAGTTGGGGGAGGGGGATTGCTTTGTTTGAACCCATTTTTTTTTTTTTCCTTTCCCAAAATCTCAAATCTTCAAGGTTGAGAGTAACCTTCAAAGATGGGGGAGGAGGGCCCTTTTACCAAGCCATTATTGGTATCATTCAATTTTAAATTGTTTTTTTGTTTTGTTTTGGAGCTGAAACTGATGAGGACTCATCAAAGAAGGCATCAGGCAACTTAAAAAACACATCGGACGGATCGATTATCGACAAACGATATAAATGAGATCGACCAAGGGGTTTTTTCGATTGGGAGCCTGATCAGATCTAGATTCAGCGGAGCTGAATTAAAAAGTCAGAAAACAAGGCCGAAACAAAACGGGTGCGGAAGCGCACGAAACGAACCCACCTGGATCTAAACGTAATCGCGAACCGATCAACTGACCTTGAGGGATTCCATTCGAGGATCATTGACAAAACGACAAAACGATCGGCAAAGGCGGTCTTTTTTTCCGGCTTGGAATCGATGTTGACTTACATTTTCGGCTGGTTGGAATCGAACCGGAAGGAAGCAAGCGAAATACAAGAAATTGACAATGCGACATCGAGGGTTAATCTTGGTCCTGCTGCTTGTGGTTGATTCAAACGGATCGACTATCAACCAAACGGCAAAAACGATCGACGGTGGAGTTTTTTCAGCTCGGATTAAACTCAGTCAGAATGGAAGTGAAGAGAATAACTGTTGACAAACCAAAGCGAAAAAAAAGAGTTTCTTTTTTTCAGCTTGGATTGATCGGATGGAAATCTTTTCTCTTGCTTATGGTTGATTCAAATGGACTCAGAAACGAAAGAACGAACCTTTCTGGATTTTTCTAGGCTGTACAGTAGGAGCTGTGCCCTTGTACACCCAAAGGCAGTGCCCCAAAGCCGGTTAAAGTTTGAGCCAGGCAGTTCAGAGGTACAGACCTGGGGTAGCTAAATACAAGTCCCCCGGGCTCTGGACCCGATCTTGAGCCAAAAATCACCCGGAGGACGCGCTGTACCTACTGCGCACCACCTGAGACTGAATACAAGGAGACGACGATACAACGAGGCCCGGACGGCCACACGACGACGCGACTGCGGACTGCGGACTGCGCGCGCAGCAAAAATCCGGACCCCTAAGCAAAAAAAAAAAAAAAAAACAATCACCGCACAAAGTGAGAAACAACAAAGACCCCCTGATGACAAATGTGCAAAAGGGGGGGGTACACAGGCAGAGTGTGGCCTAGTTTTTGAAAAACTGGGTAAACACAACTCTGAAAATCAATTAAGATAACTGTGAATATTTTTAAGCTTAAATGGAATGGATTTAACACTGCAGCGCAGAATGCCACGACGACGGCTTTTTGGCGGAATTGTCTGGGGACAGACAATAAGTTGGGGGAGGATGTGGGATACTTTATGGGTTCCCATCCAACAACTTCAAAAATTTTATATTTTCTTGTATATACAATAATATTACACCAAATATGGCTCCAGGAAGGGATTCCAGGGCCAAAATTACCCTAGAGGAGCAGGCTTGGACACATGTAACCCCCCTGTGTTGCATGTTACACCCCTCTTTCACTCACAGGTAGGGGGGCAAGCACCCTTACATGTTACAAGGATTTCAGGTACACATTTCACCCCTCCGGGCCATGTGATCTGGCATCTGTACGTCTCAAAGCAAGTACAATGGAAGTATGCAGGCACAGCATACAGGTTACCTTGGCAACCTGTCATGCGATGCGTACAGCCTCAAATACAGGATGACATCAGGCGGCTTACAGAACACAGCCTGCAGGTTGCTAGGTTGCATAGCAACTGTTGCACAGCTTGTCAATCCGACGGAAACCACTCAACTTCTCAAATCACATCATGTAGGCTGTACCACCAGCCAAAACCCCTCACTGTATTCTTCCATCTTGGCCAAATTCCCTCATGTAAGGCTG